AGTGATCAGCATTCACACCTGCTGTTAGTGATCAGCATTCACACCTGGCTGTTAGTGATCAGCATTCACACCTGCTGTTAGTGATCAGCATTCACACCTGCTGTTCATGCATGTGATGTGATTTATGCAGACTAGCTGCAGATCAGAACATAAAACTATTATATTTTAGTTATCTTTGAACCATTATTCTTTCACTCATTAAATCCCAACAAAAAGTCTGTTTAGATTAAGGATATTGCTCAACAATACATTAAAAACGCAACAATAAAAGCTGCGTCTTCAAATCATTCATAGCTGTTCGGGGACTTTAGTCAACCAGCAGGTGTAATATTTAGAGACGTGGTCTGGACCTGGTTTTAATGAGCATTGGAGCAGTTCAAGGGTTGTGATCAGACGATCAAACATGTCCACGTACGAATGTTGGTCTGAAGCTACAAATGTATTATTTCACATCGAGGCAGCTCTGTCTGAATCTGATCACTAAGAACTGGTTTTAATGGCAGGTATGAGCAGCCCCTGAAAGTCCTGAGCATTTTTTACAATCTGCCTTCTCTAAATATGCATTTACAGAATAAATAAAGGACAAATCATCAAAGGGGACTTGTCAGAGGTGTGTTCTCTGGTGGACTGGTTCTTTAAGACCGGCTTTAATGAGGGCCGGTTCAGCTTGTCCTCCCAGTCCTGCCCAGCTTGTGTTTCTGCCGTGGACTGAATTGAAGCAGGATGGTATCGGTCAGTCCAGGTCCAGTTCTATGTTCAGCTGTGGGAGTGCCCTCTGCAGTCGGTCCACGGTCACCTGCTTGTCTTTGACTCCGGGGAGGTCACTGAGAAACAGATGCTCCAAGTTCCTTATCAGGAGGAAACAACAAACGGTCATCGTTAAAGATTAAATGAATCCAATGATTTCACGCTGCACGATAAAAACGTACCTGAGTCTGTGCAGGGCTACGAGGCCCTTATCGGTGACGTTCCCACAGGACACCAGCTCCATCGTATACAGGCTCTGCTGCAGGGACTCCACTGAGCTCAGCCTCTCCAGGCAGCCGTCCTCGATGTACATACACTTGTTCAACTTCAGCTCTTCCACGTGTTTCAGGCCATCTAAGAGAAAACGTAAAGCTCCATCAGTACACGTAACCGAGATCAGATTAACAAACGTGCACACTAGGGCTGCACCGTACAATGCATCAGTATCAAGTGCAGGAGATGATGGAGCAGTACGACCCACGTTCTGCTGCTGATCATAGATTTAGTCGCTCCAACAGATTCATCGACTGTAAAACCCAAACCTGGTTCAGATGATGGTGATGACACAACATTGTCAATAGTAAAAAAATCACAGGTCGTAGGTTTTTCTAATTTGTTGCAGACCTAAATAGTTTTGTGGTTTAATCACTGATTTGATCCGTTTATATTTGATTTAAAGTGTGTTTCATACGTCACAGATATTTGCAGGTTAATTTGGCAGCTCCATTAATAACTAAAATGATTGAAAGTTCAAACTAACGAGCGGCACGGCTCCACCGCTAGGCGCAGTGGTGGAGCCAGGGGGGGACAATGGTGGCCAAGGCCCCCATAGATTAATCTTTGACCACTCCAATCATTTGAGGAAACTATATTTTTAAGTTATTTAAAAACTAGAAATCAGTTTTCTCAAATTATAGGGGTGGTTGGTTCACTCACACACACACACACACCACACACACACAAATTCAATTCAAAAATACTTCATTAATCCCAAAGGGAAATGAAGTGTCGTCGTAGCTCATCATCCTGGTTTCATTCAAGAGTTGTTATAAAAGCTGATGGCCGTGGGCAGGAAGGATCTCCTGCAGTGAAGTCGAAAAATCTGGCCACAGATACTGATCCACCCGGATCCAGCTTGTCAGATCCACTGGGCCTCTTGGTCCTCCTGGGCAGCAGGACTGCCCAAATGCTGGGCAGAACTCCTCCCTGAGCAACGGTCACTGGTGTTTTAAACCCTTCCCACACTTTTGCAATATTCTAAACAATGTTTCTGAACTCTAAAGCTCTAAAAGAGCACAGAACATCATGATTTCAGATCTGTGCCTCCGCTGCTCTTAGCCACATGCAATCGCTCTTGGCCACGCCCACTTCTCCACTCTGCATGGTCAACAGCTGATCAGCTGCAGCAGAAAGCTTATCCTGCAGTATGGGCTGCACACAGGTGCATCAGGTGCTAAATAATTCAAAATAATAAATTTTGAATAAAAATTTCATGCTGATCGTGCGGCTCATCCATCAGGCAGCCAAATTTGTGTCATCTTATTTTGAAAAACCTCGATAGAACGAGCTCGCAATAAACAAGTCGCGTTGTGCTGGTTTTAGCTTCTGTTGCGCTGTTTAAATAGTTAAACTAATATTTCATAGTTCAGCCATTCAAATTCTTATACTCGGTTTCAGCTTCTTCATCAAATTTCAGTGAAGTCATTCAGCTTCAGCTGCTTTTGGGCGGTTAGAGTAATATTTGTAGCTGAGCTGAAGCCAGCTTCACTGCATCACTGACCCAGGTAGTCGAAGCCCCTGTACATGATGCAGGAGTCCGTGGCATCGATTGCTTGGATCTTGTATCTGCCTAGAGGTCCAGTCGGCAGTCCGTTGTAGTCCTGCTGCCACCGTTCGAAACCTTCAAACCGCACTTTGGCCCCACATCTCAGCAGCCACTCTGCTGCAGCTCGGTCCGGACCAATAGTTTTGATTCTCTCATGATCCACTCTGAAAGAAACACAAACGCACACAGCCGAGTGCAGGACATAAAGGCTGTGCAAAAGTTCAACTCCAAAAATAGCTTTGTCCTGACAGATTATTACTCTTTAACTAACGGCTCGTTATCACCTTATTGTTACAAAAAACACATTTCATTTGTTAAACTGACAGCTTTGTTTTTTTATGCAACTAAAGAAAGTCTGACTGATTTTGTGTTTGTGTGGTGATGTGAGCAAATAACATTTAAAATTGGATTCTGAGTGAAGGTGTCGGTCTGTGTATTCAACACAAGACGACCTAATCCCAAATAATTCAGTTTAGATAACACTGATTCACAGCAAGTCATCCTGAGCAGCACGCTGGAGACGGTGGTAAGGAACAACTTCCTTTGAACAGGAAACCTCCAGAACTCCAACCAGAACGTGTGAATTTGACAGGAAGCCGATGGAGAGGAGCTAAAACTGGAGGAATCTCAAAATAATTGTTCCTTAATAAATGAAATCCTAATTTAAAAGCTGCATGTTTTATTGTCTTTGTCTGAAACTTGGCCTGCTCATGCATTAATATGTAACTAATGTAACCTGTGGTTTAGGAGGTGTCTCACTTGTTGAAAACTGCATTGAGCCAGCTCCAGAAGTGTCTCCTGCTCTGTCTCAGCAGGGACGGTCCTGTCCGCGACAACAGGCTCATCTTTCCCTGAAGAAGAAAACGTTTTAATAAACCCTGCGCTCTCAATGGAAACCAGGAGGAAAATACTAAAACTCCAACAGTCACAGAAAACAACTGTTTGTCTCTAACCTGTCCTCCAACAGAAAACCGTGTTGTTATTCGATCGCCTCCATTACTGTGGCCTTTGACCTCACCACGTGATCAAAACATGCTTTTCCATTGGCTAAACGTGACTACGTCACAGCGCAAGCTAAGAGGCGTGGCCACGCTGCTCCTGAGAGGGATGAAGGCTAGCTGTGTAGCAGCGATAAAAAGAGACGACACGAAGCTCAGAAATTCTGTGAAATGTTTGTACCATGAAGAAACAACCGTGAGGTGTTTTTAATCGCGGTGAAATGAACCGAATACTGAGCAGCAGGGCGACTTTAAAGGCTGTTTGTTCAGCCAAACCGGAGCTGCTAATAAAGGGCGGTGCTAGCAGACACCTCCACAGGTGAGTGTGTGTCAGCTGTAAGGCTAGAGTCCACTCTTCACACCAGCTGCAGGCACCTGCTTCGATCAGAACCATGGGGGGGTCCTCCAGCCCTGAACAGTCTGGAGTTTAATTTAAATATTCAGGTTTAAGTAAGTATTAAAGAATCAAACCAAACTAATGTCTTACCTGTTGTCAGGTTTATTTCTCTCAGGGCTGACTCAGCTGCAAGATGTGGTTCTTTCTGCCTTTACAGAACCATCAGGATTAAAACTTCAAACAGTGTTTGTTTGTATGTGATGTGTGAGGAGATGTGCTATTTCCTGCATGTCATACCCTGAATGTAGTTACTGATTAACTCAACCTAATCTGCTGCAAACTAAAACCTAATCTGCTGCAAACTAAACCCCAATCTGCTGTAAACTAAAACCCAATCAGATGCAAACTAAAACCTAATCTGCTGCAAACTAAAACCTAATCTGCTGCAAACTAAAACCTAATCTGCTGCAAACTAAAACCTAATCTGCTGCAAACTAAAACCTAATCTGCTGTAAACTAAAACCTAATCTGCTGCAAACTACAACCTAATCTGCTGCAAACTACAACCTAATCTGCTGCAAACTACAACCTAATCTGCTGCAAACTACAACCTAATCTGCTGCAAACTAAACCCCAATCTGCTGTAAACTAAAACCCAATCAGATGCAAACTAAAACCTAATCTGCTGCAAACTAAAACCTAATCTGCTGTAAACTAAAACCTAATCTGCTGTAAACTAAAACCTAATCTGCTGCAAACTACAACCTAATCTGCTGCAAACTACAACCTAATCTGCTGCAAACTACAACCTAATCTGCTGCAAACTACAACCTAACCTGCTGCAAACTACAACCTAACCTGCTGCAAACTACAACCTAATCTGCTGCAAACTACAACCTAACCTGCTGCAAACTACAACCTAATCTGCTGCAAACTACAACCTAACCTGCTGCAAACTACAACCTAATCTGCTGCAAACTAAAATCTAATCTGCCGTATGAAACTAGACCAGAGATCAGGACCCACGACCATTAAAGATTAGTTTAACTGGTGTTTGAAGAGTTGTTAAATGTTGAAGCAGGTGGGCTGAGATGATGTCCGTTCTTTATTTATTGGTTCAACCCGTTCATGGAGCTCAATGACTCGATACAAATGACCAAGTAATGTTACAGAACTTCTCGATGCTCACTGGAGCAGATGCAGAGAAGTTCGCTTTCCATCCATCTGTCTGTCCATTAAAGTTCTGAGTGTGAAGACTTGGCAGAGCCCCTCCATGCGTCACAGTTGGGCTGGTCTTTTCTTTTAAACCTTTTATTTGACCCGGATCAAAGAGGGGAGTTGGAAATATTGTCAGCCCCTGCATGTTGTGAGCATGACTTCAAGAACAAGTGAGGTACTGACTTCCAGTTTGGTGTGTGGCTGCATCTACATGTAAGAAAGGTCACTATTGAGTATTGGGTTGCCACGTTAAAATCAAAGATGGCCGCCCACCACAAATGAATGTAAAACACTGACCGCCTCATCATCTCATCAGCTATGCGGTCTAGTTTTATATTGCTTAAAAGTATGTCCATCATCTTTACCTGCTTCTTCCTTTTTGGGTTGTGGGGGTCACTGGTGTAGCCAGCTTCATGCTACACTGGTGCCCATATCCAGCAGTCCCCCTTCAGATCCCTCAGAGACGGACGGGGTTTCAAAGGTTTCTTGCTCGTTGAGGCGCGTCCACTTGGACCTTGAAGCAGGATCTGCAGCCTCCAGGTTCCGTTTGACCCGTTTCCTCTGTTCCAGCTCGTACGATGTGGCCGTCGTCGGTGCTGGGATCGTGGGCCTGGCCTCGGCCAGGGAGCTCATTCTGCGGCACCCTTCGCTCAGCTTCGTCCTGCTGGAGAAGGAAGAACAACTCGGTGGGTGGAGCGTCCAAGTGAAGTCCAGTGTATTGAAAATAAAATTACACAGTGATTAAAAACAGGCACAGATAAAAGTTTTTAATACTTTTGGTAAAGAAAAGCATAAAGTTACTAAAATTACTTGAAACTGACAAAATTACGTAAAAAAAAAAAAACTCCATAAAAACTCATTACTTTTGAATTTTGCTTCTCAAGAATAGGACCATAACACCTGTCCACAGGTGTTCCGGTCCACCTGTCCACAGGTGTTCCGGTCCACCTGTCCACAGGTGTTCCGGTCCACCTGTCCACAGGTGTTCCGGTCCACCTGTCCTCGGGTGTTCCGGTCCACCTGTCCTC